TTAAGCAAAAACGTCCAGGTACAAGCCTACTGGTGAGCACAGTAAAACTACAGTAATCATGAATTCGAAAGCGTGAACCATAAAGTGAACAGGTTTTTTGTGGATTGTATTAGAAGGCTTGTTTACAATGCTGAATTATTCTGTGTATCAGGACACTGGACACGCCCAATTAAAGTAAACAGCATTTATTTGTTTCATATGATGGTTGGCTTGACTTACCTTAGAATACAGTGCAAAAGTCATTAAAATACTGCTGGAATCTGTGGAAATGTTGAAGATCATGTGCTGATTTCATATATTTGGTGCATTTAGTTTGACTCTGAAGTTAAGTTCTATGCTCATATCAGTGGTCCAAAAATTAACTGACAGTACAAAAAATAATTTTTACTCCTTCCCGATTACCTGATATTGGCTTGCTTTCTTATTCAGTTTACCAGAATCTGAATCTAATACTGAAATTAATTACTTAGCTGTTTATTAATTTTAAAAAAATGTGAACTTTGTTGTTTAAAACTTAAGCCTTTGTGGAAAGGTGGACCTATTGGGGATAATATTTCTAATGGATAAAATTAAATTTATTTTCAAGAAGTTTGGTGGTTTTTGTCATGTTATCCTCAGGACCGGGATGCACAACAAAGCTTTGACTTTAAACTCTTCTCATTGTCCCTGTAGGAGCACAGTCATAAAAGTCTTGACTTCTCATATTTTAATTCTTGCTTCTTTGAATAATCTGCATGAGACAGGATGAATACAAATACTGGCAGTCTTCTGTAACCCAACAGAATACCTCTGTGATGTACTTCCCTCTCTTTTCTGTCCTCAAGAAGACAATCTCCCACAATTCCAAGATCCTTGTCAGCAATTTTTATGGCAGTTAGCAACCACTGATTACACTAATGCATTCACTGAAGTCAGTGACTGCCCAATCCACAATACCACATCAATCTATTTATGGCGATAGCAAATGTCCTCTTACTCGGAGATAAACAAGGTTATAGTACTAATTCTTACTCTTAACTGTTTGTAGAGCGACTGCCACAACAATTAACATAGTGGAGAAGTTCTTTCAAAGTAATCTCCTAATGTATTTTTAGTGTGGTCATCTCCAGCTGTATCAGGGGAAAAAAGTCAAGAGGCTTAAGGAGGGGGATAGAGATTGCACTGTACCTGCAACAGGCTATTTTTGCTTGATTACAACAAACAGAGCTCCTCTAGCAAATCCAGCAGAGGCCCACTAAGATGTTGCAGGGTCTGGAACATCTCTCATATGAGGACAAGCTGAGAGAGCCAGGGCCGTTTAGCCTGGTGAAGAGAAGGCTCAGGGACATCTCTGCTGTTTGTGTACAAATATCTGAATGGAGGGCACAAAGAAGATGCAGCCAGGCTCTTTTCAGTGGTGCCTGATGACGGGGCAAGAAGCAGTGGGCACCAACTGAAACCCAGGAGGTTCCCCCTGAACATCAAGAAACACTTTTTTACTGCGAGAGTGACCAAGCACTGACTGGAAGACACTGCCCAGAGAGGCTGTGGTGTCTCCATCCTTGGAGGTGTTGAGATGCTGTCTGGACATGGTCCTGAGCAAACTGCTGTAGGTGACAAGGTGACCTCTAGAGGTCCCTCCCAACCTCAGCCGTTCTGTGATTCTGTGAAACATCTTAACAGACAGCTGTTAATATGGTCACAATCTTGAGCATTATTTGGTAATAAATATGCGACTTTGGGTTCAATTGGAAAAAAATTTCAGATATTCTCAAAAGCCAAGTAGATTGCTGGTGCTCTTCCCCATCATCCCATCTCCATGGTGTACGGAAGGTAGGCTTGTTGTATCAAGCTGAATTCTTATTAACGTGTTACCTCATCAACCTTTATCACACTCACTTAGGCTGAACTGCGGAATTGTTTTAGTCTGCAATCCTTGTGTTCAAACAATAGGAAAAACTAAAGCTCCTCAAATCCCTTAACTTCCCAGTAGTTATTACTATAAGCTGTGAAACTTAAGACTGATTATTTTTTATGCTATGTCACAGATGAGTGGTTAGGTCATTTAAAGAATCACCATCAAAGATATTTGAAAATAGTGATTTTAATAGAAATCTACAAAAGTGTGAGTCAACAGACTTCGATGGCAAGGGTCACTCTATTACTTACTAAATGAATGGAATATATGTATAAAGAGAAAGAAAGAGAAAATGGAGTTAGAAGAAAATACAAGGAGGAAAAGGGGACGCTCCCGTTGAGTCACGAGGTTCAGAATGGACCCCCTTGCTTTCTAAAGTCCTTCTCAGAGAGGGCTGGATCCAGTCCTAGTTTCAGACTTGGTCAAGGGTTTATGTCTAAGGATCATATATATCTAACAGCAGTTTAAGGTTTGTTCACAGTTGAGAGAATCACAAGAATTTAGCAATAAGTAATCATTGGTTAATTTAGCATCTACAAGGTGATTAAATAGGGTTTACTGCAATATTTGTATCAATACACACACACACCCCCCACGCCTAGTAATTTGTTGTGACTTTAGTGAAATACTCACAATATGCACATATAAAGGTACCTAGGAAAAATTCCCCTTGAGTTCACTGAAATACGTCAAATAATTAACTCAATGGATGAAGGTCGGGTCTCAAGGAGCAAAAGGTGCCAGAGATCAGGCCAGGTCCTGTTGTCAGGCCTCTATATGTAAAGGTACCTAGTAAAAGTTCCCCTCGAGTTCAGTGAAATACTCACATCAAATAATTAACTCAATGGGCGAAGGCTGAGAGTCTCGAGGAGTGAAAGGCGCCGGAGGTCAGCGCAGGTCCTGTCGGCAGGCCATTAGTTGAAAACTTAGGAGTTCACAGCTCCGAGAGGCATCCCGCTCCGAGGGAGATGCTGGTGCAGCCCGCTGCAGTCCAGGAGGGCTCAAAGGGTCCCACTCGGCACCGCTGTTTATAGGGTCGTGAGATGATTGACTTTAGGTGTAGTAAATTTCCATCCTATTGTCACAATCTGGGTTGGTGATTACTGAAATTCTCAAAAATTCCAGTGACGCTGGTGCAGATCCTCCTGAGTTACAACCCAGATAAGGAGATATGCCCCAAGGCTGTCGGGGGCAGCTGATGTGAAACATGTTGGTACAGATGTAAAATACGTTCCAAGGTTGTCGGGGGGCGACTGGCTCCCTGGTACAGACAGTTCTGCTCCCACCTTAGCCCTCTAAGAGTTTCTGGTATGGTCAAGGGACGCTTCGCCGCCAAACTCGTGACAGAAAAGCCCAGTGTTGACAGGAGTTACTGAGATTGTAAAGCAGTTCAGGAAGGGGGCGGGGAGGGGGGGACGGACACACGACACACCCCATGCTAAGAGTCCCAAAGTAGATGGCCCTTTCACACAGCAAACTGATACTCAAGGACTGATTTTCCGTGGACTTTTAATTTGAAAGTGCTAAACCAGCCTTTGTCAAAGTCTTTGTTCCTAGTACATTTGGAGGGGAGGCATTATCAACCATAAATCATCTTTATCCATTGTTCTGCATTTCCTTTTTGGAAGCACGTATAAGAACAGCAAATTTACTAGGTAAAAACTAAGCACAGAGTAAGTTACTGTAGGACTGAGATTCAGGCTTCTGTAGAGTGCATACAGCTTTCACAGTAAAAGGCACGGACTGGGGTGGAACATGAAGCAGGGCTTAAAAAGTTGTTTTGCTTTTAGTGCCACATAATACTATTTAAAAGAACACCACAAGTCTCAGTGACCGGGGTTTAGGTAGTTTAAATAATTTTTGAACTCTGAGTTAGGTTCCTGTTCAAGGTGGTTTGTTTTCTTCAGAGTTCGAGTGTTTCAGACACATAATTCTTCTACATACATACCTTACTATGCTATCAAATGCATAAAGTGAACTGAAAATATATTTGATCTTAGTTCCAGAAATATTGGAAGATTAAGCTCACTGAAGATATGTAGAATCAGCAAGTGCTTTAAAGTGTACAAGTTTAACACTGTTTCATAACTGCGTCTAGCAATTTTTGGTTTTCTGAGAGAAGTCTGGGATCTGGGTACGGAGGAGGGATTTAAACATGCTAATGCCCAGACTTTGTTCCAATTCTTGATCAGCTTTGACAGGAAATCTGCAGAATTAATATTGGTGTCTTGAGAGATTTTGGATGCCAATTCATGAGACAGGACATCAGAGTAAATGCTAATCGCTATCTAATAATTTAAATTAAGCCTTCACCCATCTTACAGGGCATTGCCTTGTCCACCTTGGGGCTTGATCAGTTAAGCAACACATAGAAAGGTGTCCATTCTGCAACATCAGCAAGGGCAACTTGATGAACGTGCAGTGATAGAAAAAAACAGTGCTACCATTTTAATCCAGAAGATGCCTCCTCTGAGAGGGCTCTGTGAAGCCTTACTGCTCTTCTCAGACTGTTGCAGAAGCATACTCTATTAAAGACAGATTTAAAAGATGCAGCATCTTCCTTACAGAAAAGTTACTGGACTTTTTGTCTTAATTTTCTATATACGAAAATGCTTAGAGCATTAGAAGTAATTTTTAAAAAGCTTTAGAAGTAGTTAAAATAGTGCTTAAAGCGTCAATATGCATAAGCCATGTTGTCTGCATGGAGGTACAATCCAACCAGAAGTTACTGGTAACAAAGAAGATTCTGATTCACACAGAAATGCTTGAAGTTGTGGTCTGTCACATAAATTAAATGTTTAGTCAGTCATTCAACTTGATTTTGTTTTTTTAAGACCAACTTCTTCATAGCAACAAAGACTAAGACCTAGATGCTTAGGCACATGCTTGTCCATGCTTATATTAAAACTTCTAGTGAAACATTTCATTAGATAGTAAATTTTTTTTAGTGGCCATACCAGCCTTTTTTTAATCTAGCCAGATGCTGATGAGGGGCCCAGCATATCAGACAGCATAAAGAACAATAATTTTTTATACATGGAAATAGAACATCCACCATTTCAGCTTAGTGCAGTAGGGCAATACGTGCATTAAAATGCTGAGTTCAGCTGGCCGTTTCTTCAACATCAAAATTCTTCAAAGAAAAATTAATATTTTTCCATTTCTGAAAATCCATTTGTGTCCCAGTTTCAATGTTCTCTACTACAAAGCTTTTGATTTTGATCACTGGTAGATTATCAAATGTCTTGTACTTCACTGTGATTCCCCAGTCATGCTGGCAATTAGTATTTTGGCAATACATCTTGCCTTTTTTCTCAAAACAATCAAACTGGATGGGTTTCAGGTGAGGCTTTGTTATATAACGCTCCTTGAATGCGTCTCCTAGGACAGTGTGATGAGATACCTGAAACAACAACAGATGCCAGAAGCGCCTAATAGTAGCAACACCATTCCTCATTTTTTCATGACATTCCCCTTCCCCTCACAAATACCATTTCCCTGGTAAGGTGCTTCCTGTCATTCGGGAGGCTCACCTTCCAGCCCCCTTGGCTCATCACTCTTTTTGCCCCATTCATTAAATACCAGGTACTAGACGGGCCCAGGCCTGGGCTTATCAAGACCAAAATTACTATATATCACCAGTCACCAGCTTATACGTATTTGAACTTACTTAGCTTCTCTAAAAAACATGCTTGCAGTATTTGAGCCTTGTGTATAAAACTAACAGAGTCATCCAAACAACGGACAACTTGAGAGACCCCTGCTTCCCACTCATTTTAACTATATGACCCCCAGCTTTCCATGAGGGGACATGCAATTACTTTGGAGTGGTAGAAAAAGTAACCCTAACAATGTAAAGAGTTACAATTGTTGTTTATAACATATATAATCAAATATTAAAAAAATTAACAACTTAGTTTGAAAGCATATGTACAATTTGAGCTGGAGTCTGAACACGCTAGTTCTTCCTGGAAATGCAACTTCCATTAAATATATAGGCTGAACTATGACAGAACTCAGTTTGTTGTATTATTTAAAATATTGTGAGGGGTTATTTGCAGATTACTAAGCAAAAACTCTCTAAAGAGTTTTCTGAACTCTCAGATCTATTTGCACAGGTATAGGTGCACATACAGCCACCAGCACAAAATGGAGCAACAGTGAGAGGTGTATGTTAGTTGTCCCTCGTTATTTGTCAAAGAAACCTAACTAGGTTTTCACAAGGCTGAGCTGTTCCCAGCTCCTCGCCTGTGGACCTTCCCTCTGCAAAGGAGTAGCGAACTCCATCTGCGTTCCAAAAACAGCTGGTAAAAACAACAAAAAAAAAGATTTTCTTGATTAAAAAGGGAAGTGCCTGAAGGCAAGCACTCTGTAATGCTCAGCTGTGCCGTGAAGCCCCTTATCACATCACAACTGTGCTTTTCAGAGCAGCACAAATAGAAGAACCCTCAAAAGAACAAATTTCAGAACTAGAAAGGCTCAAAGTGCCCAGAAAAGGCTCTTTTTCATGATCATCACTTTCCATGTGTAGAGTATTGGCTTCCTGGGCCTACAGAGAAATTCTTCAAGTTCAGAAAGAGTACAATAAAAATGTCCCCATGAGATACATAGAAGCAATGTGACCTATCTAAAGAATGGCAGACAAAGTAATATTGAAGAATTAAAGGGCTCCTCTTGTAAAACCATGGTTTGCCTTGCCTTTCAAAACAGAAAACTGGCCCATAAGCCAAGGAGCTAAACAGTGAGCTGATCTCAGTACTTTGTATGGATAATTTTCCGTCAACAGAAATGGTGGGAGAAATCTCTCAACTGCAGGAAGACTTCCAATCTTATGCTAATTGGGAAAGTAAATATCCAGCAGTTACCCTAGTACATTAGGTCATTGAAGATCACATGGTTTTCCACAAAATTTATCAATTTCCAACAGAAGGGGGTTCAGGAAAACTGAACTGATTCCTGTTACATCACATATTTGCACACCTTGGACATCATCAACTACCATTGTAAAATGCTACAGAAGTAGTTATTACTGGTCCTGTGGTTTACTGATGTACTCAGAATTTTTTTCTTCTCCACTTTGCATAAAATAACCTACTTTCCATACTGATAAACAATGATGTTAGTTCAATAATGCTGACTTCCCTGGTGCTCATGGACATAGGTTTCCATACAGAGACATACCTTTATAACTCTGATGTCATCTGTACTGCAGGCATATGCTTTGCATTTTCCACACAGAAGATTTTTTTTCCCTTCCACTACCTTAGGTCTTGTTTCTTTCTTCCTGGAATCTCGTAATACCTTTTCCTTCATTTGCAGGTCATGTATCTTTAAAATTAATAAATAAATAAAAATAATTATGAAATTAAGAGATGTCCCAATGTCTGTCTAAACATGACTAAGGTTATGTAGCATCTAGGAACCTATTACTTAAAGGCAAACAAACAAAACATGCCTTGTTCTAGCAACTCATACCAAAGAAAGAACATGGTACATTTGTCAGGCTAAGAATGCAAGGCTAGAATAAGACCACATGATGGACAGCATTTATGCTGTCTGTCCCTTCCTCCCCTCTACCCCCCTATACCCCCTTTGGTGATAATGCTATTATTAAGTCCTTGTGAAGACTAAGTCAGGTGAGAATCCCTACAGCAGAAGTAGTGCTGCTGCTCTGGGAAGCTAAGGGTTTGGAAAGGCGGCTTCAGAGACCACAGAAATTGCAGGCAGAGAAAGAGGCAACAGCCACAGCCTGGAGCTGGGAACCTGCAGCTCATGCAGAAACAGAATCCTCTGAGAAGAAGCAGGAGCAGCCAAAACCAAGCCTGGGAGGTGGGAGAAGAAACTTCACAAAGGCTAGAGGGCCTTGGACATTCTTTGTTGCACAGCTCAGTCTCTGAAAGATTGCCTGGAAACATGGGGTGATCTGCAAAACCACAGGGATATGGCAGAACTGTGTACAAAGCCTTTTTATTTGTAGTGGCTGCTACTGGCTTATTCCAGTCTTCCCTGAGAAATTTGTTACAAAGGTCTAGGAAGACAGAATCATAGAATCATTTAGGTTGCAAAAGAGCTTTACGATCACCGAGTACAACTGTTAACCTAGCACTGCCAAGTCCACCACTAAACCATGTCCCTAAGCACCACATCTCCCCATCTTTTAAATACCTCCAGGGATGGGGACTCAGCCACTGCCCTGGGCAGCCTG